CTTGTGACAGGAGCTAGAACTGCAGATACACCAGGAAGTTTGTTTCTGGGTCTAGGTGAACTAAGCACTAGGAACAGGATTTTAAGTACTTGTATGCATTTTGTTCTATCACTAAGTACACATATAAGAAATTAAGACGTGTTTTTTTTTAAAAGAAACATAAGGCATTATTGAGTGGATTTTACATATTTTACATTGGAAATCCTTGCCTAAAAAAAATAATGGGTGGAGGGTGGAGGGTTAGCTGCTGTAAAGGTGTTGCTTTTTCAATTACGTTACTCAGAGCACATTAGCACCTCTCAAAAGATGTTTACAGTTTCAAGGTCAAGAGCTAACTAGCTATTAGGGCTACATCAAATAACAAGGTTTGAATTGATTCCATTATTTTGAGAAGCTAAAAGAAGTAGAGCAGCATCTTTTCATGAAGAGGGAATTAAAGTGTATATTTCAAGTAAAAACAGAGGTTGCAGCATATAGGGGTGTAAATTGGAATAATGTTTTTGCAAGCATTTCTGAGAACAGTTGGATAAGGTCCAGAACAAGAAGAACAAAAATGTAATTGGGCTTTTGCTTTCATGAAGTCCAAAGGAAACAGAGACATGACTTTTTACTAAGCCACAATTACAGTAATTGTTGGTGTGTCCCAGATTTATGGGTACTCAGTTTCCAAAACAGTAACTATGAAAGCCAAAGATTCTTTTAGGGAAGAAAGCAGTAATGGTGGCTGTCACCTTGGTGCAGGGTAGAGCAGACATTTTGTTCCTTTGCTTTGAGAGGAGATGGAACATAAATTAAAAAGAATAAAAACACCCCAACATGGAAACTGGTTTATATTCTAAAAGATTCCAAACTGGACATAAAATTAGTGCTTAAAATAGGTTGATGACAAAAGTTTCCTAGATTCCCTAGATAAAAATGGAGACAGGAAGTAATGTCCTCAGATTATCAGCATTAATAGATTGAAGAAAAATATTTTATCCTCTTTTTTTTGCATTCATGCCTGATGATAAGCTTCTCATTGTGATTTATGATGCCAAGAATCCAGGTCATTCTGCCTAGGTAAGTATCACCTTCTCCTTTGAGTTACTTTTCAAGTCATTCGTTGGAACTCTGCCATCATCACAGGAAGTTTTGGCATGTAGATAGCTTGATAGATGAATTTGTAACTTCATGAAAGAACAAAAAGTTGCTAGAAATGTGCAGAGTCTGTATATAAGCAGGCAGAAAATTGACCTAATTGTCACTTCTTCATTTGTAATTCTCTGAGACTGATCATCTTGAGTCTGAAAAGCAACTAATGGCTTTGAGTGTTTTAACAGAGCATTGGCAGAACAGGAAGAGCTTGGGGGAATATACTCATTCTCTGCACAACAAATTCTTCAGCTGGTTTTGTTGCTATAAATGTTGAGTGATTTGAATGCAGACAGCAGAGTTAGTTTAGATTTGTATCCATGAAACAATGACATTTTCTGCAGCTTGGAGATTATTTAGCTTCCTTTCAGCTGAATTCATTTTAACTCTTGGACCCCATTTAATTCCTTAGAATTGCAGGTTTTGTCATAAGTCTGTACTTTTACCTTTGGACTAAGATAGATTGTTATGAATAATTCAGGAAAAAATATGTCTGTCATTCCACCTGCATAGGATGTTTTTTTGGATGTATGCAGATTACTCTGTCAAATTACTCTGATTCCTATTAAGCTGTGATGGGTTACTTCCTTTGCTGCAGCCCATAATTCTTAAATGAAAGGGTCAAGTTGTGTTGGTTTTGATTTCTGCTTGCCTGACTTTTTTGACTTTGTGTGCTTCTTAGTATATTATATGAAGACTCTGTGGGAGGTGTTCTCATTAGCTATTTCTTCCTGCATTGAATCTCCATTATGCTTACAGTAATAAATATATTTTTTTTACACTCAGATTTTTACACTCAGATAATATTTTTCAGAGCAGTGGAAAATACTGAATGGGCCTTGTAGCACTTTAATTTGTCAGCTGTGGCTATATAGCTCCCTGACAGTTATCATAGATATTCTTACTTTTGAATGAGTAAGAGAATAGCAGAAATATCTGTTCAGTTGGGAAGTGCTGATGTTTTAAAATGGTAGTGACTATAAAATGTTTTTTACAGAGCTACACAGTAAATATCCATTGTTAAGAAATAAATAAAATTCTGCAGTGTACTTTAGGATACAAGAAGTCATGTAGAGTGTTATCTACATTTTAAAAATATTTTTAGGGACAAAATAGTCATATAATCTGAGTCAGTTTTCCATCTATTAGTAGTTGAGTTCTTCAGCAGTAGCTGAATACAGAATTTCCAATAATTACACAGTGTCATGTTTCCCATTGTTGTAAATGTATTTCACAATAATCTGTGAGCATGGCAGTAAAATTTATTGTTTGCCAATAACTACATACCAGCTCTTTATACTGGAGAATATTTTATACAGTTACCTAGGGTTAATAGTACTTTTCTCTTCCAGCAGTATTGCTGAAGTCAATGTTTTACTCACCATGAACAAACATCACAACGTGTACATCTTTCAAGTACAAATATGTACTTATGTTACATTTGTATTCGAACATGCTTCAAAGTTCTAGGCTGGATTAATACATTGCTTACATATAATGTAATCACACACCAGTCTTGCACATGAATAAATATGGTTTGCATGATGTTAAAGAGGAGAAGACTCTCATTTGTTAAAGTGAGGAGGTTGTGTTGATTCTGTATCTTAAAAAGATAGACTATTAACATCTATGAAATCTCATTTCTGCCTTATTTGAGGTCCCACAACTTATATATCCCCTCCCTCAGCTGAAGTTGCTCCTCTAAGTTAGATAAAGCTAAAAGTCCCCATTTCCTTGTGCTTCTGTGGGTATTTCTATTACTGTAGAAAAACCATAAAATGGAACAGAAATCCAAATCTCACCACAACTGGAAAAGTCAGGCCAAGATATTCTCAAGTAAAGGAAAGCAAATCTTGGTTGTCAACAGTTTAAGTGATGTCTAAAATCTGATATCAAAAATATCACAAATCATTTGTGGAGCAAGTGACCATTAAATTAAAATTGAGTGATTCCTGATACACTTTTAGTTCTTCAGTAGATAAGCTACATGTCTGATAAATGTAGCATTTGTCTGTGCTTGATCATAAAAAATGAACTAATAAACTAAATTATATTTTATCTTTTCAATTTTAAAATTATTTTCATTAGGATTGTCTGTACATGATCTGCATTAATCTTTGCTCAAGTAAATAATTTTTTTTTTTTTTTTTTTTTTTTTTTTGTAACAGGAACCTTCCATGTAATAACTTACAAGATCTCAAATAAGAAATGTCCAGTAATCAGTCAAGACATTGCTTGGACTAAGGATATAAATAATACTATATAATAAATTATATATCCAAAATGATTTAGTGGATTAGCTGTTTTGTGCACACTTTGGCTGCAATGCAGTATAGTCAGTTGCTACATATTTCATAAACCTCTGACTATTTTAATTAATTTCACATAAGATGGAATAGAAAGCAGAGTTTTCCCTTTATGGAAAAGTCTGGTGCTTTGAAGTGTATAAGTCCAATGGAAAATAAGAAGTGCATATGTTTATCTGAAAGGAAAGCCATGGTAGAATGGTAGTTTTAAATCAAGTGATATATTTATTTTCTTCTAAGAGCTTAGATATTTTTGGAAGAGCTTAAAAATGAAAGTGGCTTCATGTCAGGAAAAGAAAACTGAATGTAACTTACATAAATTTTAAAAAGTTTACACAGAGGTAAAATATTGATAGTATATGCATCACCTTTTTTAACAGCAATAAGAATTTTTATATGAATAATCATATTGTTCCAATCTGTAAGGAAATGCATTTACCTCATAAAAAAGTATTTCTAACTTTTCTTGCTGTAACTTTGAAGTGATTTCACAACAGGTGTGCTGTGAAATTTGTTGTATTCACAGTTTTTGATTTAACAACATACTAGCAGAAAAATGAGGCATCAGAGTTAATTAGCTTCCATTACGTTTTAAGGTATGCTGTGTTTTTGCACCTTACATTGGCTCTCAGTTTAAATAGAAGTAACACAGAAACCCTTAAACTTGCACAGTTTGTTTTACAGAGGATATTTGATAATTTACATCTCAATTTTTTATTTTGTCCATTTCTCTATTGCCATCATATAGAACTGAACCTCCTGTATATTCATGTACTTTTGCATAACTGTGAATTTTATGATAACAATGTAGAAAGTGAAGACTGATATTGATTATAGGTTATGTATGCAGTGGTGAACAAAATCTCCCCAACAAAATGTATAAAATGCTGATTTCTACATGACAGACAATGGAGGCACTTCCATTTTAACCCTTGATTCAAAGCCAATGATCAAGCACTTGAAGATGACAAACACACTCTCTGAGACACCCATGGTCCTTCTAAAGCCTACACAACAGAGAAACTATCTGGTGTCTCTAAGGTCTGGTTAGATTTAGAAGTCAAGTTTCTTATGAAAATAGGGTTGCCAGTGAAAGTAGATTAATTTTAACAAATCTTGTAGATATAAGTTAGGTGAAATATATAGAGATGTAAGTTAGTGTAAAATAACTTAGGAAGAAACACATCTGCATGAGTGTTTTATTTAATTTATCATGCACAGACATCTTAAAATGAGATGAGTTATTCACTGACATGCCCCTGTCTCTCCACACACACTACAGGGAAAAAACTAAGCCTTGATTTGATAGCTAGCCTTAGATAGGTAAAACTGGTAGAGATAAAATCCACATATAGAATTTTAAGGGTTTTTTCTTCTTCTGCTCAGAAATTTATTCTTCATATTTTAGGAAGTAAAGAGATAGCAGGAAGAATAGAACCAGAAGAAGGAGGAACAAATGAGAACCACACTCTCCTAGTCACAATTCCTGGTTACCTTGTTGATTTAGCCTCCTTTTACATGCTGGTATGCAATCAAATGAAAGCTCAAAATGCTTTACCATACCTGATTGTGGACTTTGTTTGGGGATTTTGGCTGCTGCTTCGGGGCTGGAGGTGGCACGTACACGCTGATTGGCAGAATTGTGGATGCTACCTGGGACAGCTGCTGAGATGTTTTTACGAGGTTTCATGTCTTGCAACCACATCGGGGATGCCTCAAAGGCTTGCATTCGCCGGGAGTGGCTGTTAGCATTGACTTTGAGAAATGCCTGGGCCTTGTATTCCTGAAGGTCTCCATAGTTGGCATCGGTCACCCTGCACTCATACAAGCCTTCATCCTTTTTCCTCACTTTTGAAATCTGCAGCTTGTGGGAGATGTCATTCCCTTGTACTTTCACTGTCTGCAAATTTTCCAGGAAAAAAAAAAAAAAAAACCAAAAACAAAAACAAAAACAAAAACAACAAAAAAAAACAGAGAAAAAGCCACTATCATGAATTCCTTTTTCTTAGGAAAAACTCTATGGGCATAGCACCTATTTACTTGATGGTGTGATTGTGCTTACTGCAGGGAAGTTACATCATGGATGAGTATGGCTAATTTTATCTACGAGGATGCCTGAAATCGTCTTTCCAAATCTGATTAGATAGTTTGCTCTGAAATCTAATTAGCTTCAAAAAAAAAACCCCAAACTACCATGTTCATTCCAACTAATTGTTTAAGATCATGAACATTTTTAATGAGCTTTCTTATGTAAACCTAGTATCTGTGTACTTTATTGGTTAAACCTTTCCAGTTAGTTGGCTTTATTGAATAATTCTGTTTCTGAACTAGTGCATTAACAATTTTGTTGGAGATGAAGATTTAAACTATACAAATAACTATTTATTAGATTAGCTTGTACTCTTCACTATATTGAAACTATATTTTGCACTCAGTTTGTCCCCTTCAAGTGTGTCTAAACCTTTGGTATTTGTTTCTGTTAATGATAACAAGACATATTGTGTCAGGTTCTTTTCCCTTGTTTATCTGTATACTTATTAGAAGCACATGTTTAGAATTGTTTTAAAAGTTGTCAGCTAAAAAAAGACTCCTGATTTATTTTTAATTAGTTCTAATATCTGAGGGCAACATAACATATTTTTATTTTTGATAATTAAAACACACATGAGTAAATTATACATCCAGAAATAAGTGATAATTAAGATGCATTGGGAAAAGTTAACACAGATTCCTTTCTGTATGTTCATCACTTAAGAGAATTTATATTTAATTAATTTTCTATTACTCTCTATCTGAATTAATAAATGTTGTCCCACAGGCAGCCAGTTAAAAGGTATTCCATAGACTATAAATCTTCAGCTTTGAAGAACTTTGGAATGTTCGAAGGTGGTTTACTTCCATCGTTACATAAACATGGACGCAAAGTTTGCCTTGTGTCATATCAGTGACAGCCAATAAGGAGACATCAAGATGATCAATACATGCTAGATCACAAAAATAGAGAACCACTAGATCAAAGCTAGACAGATGTTATTGGGGATTGTACAATATATTGCTTCTGACAGCTTGGCCTAATGTGACCAGTGTTGGCAAGGCACCTATTATACCTTCTTGATAAATTGAAGAGCAATACTCATGAATATGTCATTGCTTTAGGGTATTGGATGGACTTTATAGCCTGTTGTGTTGTACCCAGCTCTGAATTTATACTTGGCAAACTGAGTTGAAAGTATAGATTACATACTCACAGGTATAATGTATGCAATATTAATTGCACAGAAAGTGCTGGATAGTTATTTAAATAATATTCAATAATAATATATGTCTACTGAACAATTCATGTTCAGCAAAAGGATTAAAGAAGATTCATAGGAATTGAAAGAGGATTGGTAGGTTATATTGTGACTTCATTTGTTCCGGTGCAAAAGCCACAAAATTAACAGTGCTGTATAGCCCTGGTGAAAAACAGAATTGTTTTTGATTTTGTATTTGAAATTTAAAAATTCTTGCAGGTAACATATATGCATGTTTTCACTTTGTGTTGCTTTATCATTTAGAACAGATAGAAATAGTGTCTTTCAGCCTATATCTAAGCATTTAAAAATATTTATTAAATGTACTTTAGTTTTCTCTTCATTATGATAATTTACATTACTACTAATGGAGCTGTGTATGCCTATAAAAAAAGGGCTACATTTGTAAAGAGTAGATAAAAAGTAGATTTAGACAGTAACATAACGTTGACTATTTTTATTACAAATATAAAATAAATGTTTTATGCAAGCTTATAGGAGCACTGTAAATACTTTCTCGTTAATCATTATTATACATAATGAAAGAGATTTGTAACTTCAAAGATGAGACAAGCTTTACAGTCTATATTGTGTCTCAGGTCTTGTGGACTACTTCAGGGATTTCAAATGAGCCAGTACTGATAAGGAATGAATTATCTGCTAGCCTTATGTCTAGTAGAGTAGTAGCCAAGGACCACATGTGAGCCTCATTTGTAAGACAGTCTACAAATGCAACTGAAGATATGGTCCATGACACAAAGCATTTCTAGTCGATGGTGAGAAGTATCACAGGAAATATAAGTATGGCTACCATATGTATTGTACTGAACACAGTATACCGGGGTCCTCATTTATAAATCCCCTTCAGCTATACTTAGGTGTACTTTGACCTGATGTAATTATCTAGTTTGTTATTTGTAGGCATCAAAAACAGCAGAGTAAAGGATTTGTCAGAAATTATTCCCTTTATTTGTTGCTGTTTTAAAGCTTTACTGGTACTCAAAGCCTTGTCTGCAGCTAAAAAACACTTCCAAAGTGATTATGCCAGAAAAAGGGAAAACCCCTGTGGGCTGAAAGGGAATATTCATGCTGCAGTATCTGCTAAGTATCTGTGTCTTTCCACTGCAGTGAGCACCACACCATCATCCCACCACCAAACATTTTTTTGGGATGCTGAGGGAAAAGGATCTGACTTATTCTGAGGTCAGAAGCAGCCTTCAGGCTGTGCCTGACACAGGACATGAGTTGGCTGTGGAAGGCATCCTTTCCCTGCAGGGAACAGGGGGAACTGAGCAACGCTGCTTTATAATTCTGTTGAGATAATATTCTGGTTTAATCTCTAAGCAGCAGATTGATAACTGGTGTCAAAATCTCACTTTCATAAAACTGAGTCTCTGTTGTCAAGAGTTGAGATTGCTCCCAATGGGGAGGTTTTGTCCAAAGCCTTTCCCAGCTTTCTTTCTGCCAGCAGGTATGGACCTGAGAAAACACCCGTTTAATAAGTTGCACACCCTGCTAAAGGCAAGTCCAGCTTTATGGACAAATTCCAGCCTTAAAACCAACTTTTGAGTGCTAAGGTAGACTCAGCAGTTGCCCAGGGTAAATGGGAACAAGAAATGCAAGGATAGGTGCAGGCTGAATTTTTCACAGGTACAAATAGGTGATGGACTTTGCCTCGACCATGCTGGTCTGTGCCTCCATGTCCAAGGGTGCAGGGAGAGGGGCTGCATGGGGAATGTCTGTCCTGGCACCCTCTGCCAGGACCGTCAAGGAAGTAGTCAAGGAATTATAGAATCAACTATTTAGATTGGAAAAGACCTCTAAGATCATCGAGTCCAACCGCTGAGCTGCCCAGCTACCCGCAATCTGCGGTGCGGATGGGGAGGAGATGCGGGGCAGGAGCAGACTGGGTGCTCGGAGGCGAGGTGGACCCTCACTGGGGAAGGGACCCCGGCCGGCGGGGACTGCGGCGACACTTACGCTGATCTTCGTGCCGTCGCTGTCCAGGTCCCGCTCGGGCAGGAATTCCACCTGCAGGGAAAGGAGCGCTGCCGTGGGTCTCCGGCCCTCGCCCCGCTCCCGCTCCCGCTCCCGCTCAGCCCCCGCTCCAGCCCCGCCGCGCTGCCCGTGGAGCGGCGCGCCGCGCCTGCCACCTGCGGGCCGCGCCGGGAACAGCCGGGGACGGCCGGACACAGCCGGGGACGGCCGGGAACAGCCGGGAACAGCCGGGAACGGCCGGACACGGCCGGGAACAGCCGGACACAGCCGGGGACAGCTGGGGCACAGCCGGGGACGGCCGGGCACAGCCGGGGACAGCCACGGAACAGCCGGGCACAGCTGGTGACAGCCGGTGACAGCCAGGGACAGCCGGGCACAGTCGGGTACAACCAGGGGACAGCCGGACACAGCCGGGGACAGCCGGGCACGGCCGGGGACAGCCAGGGAACAGCCGGGCACAGCCGGACGCAGCCGGGCACCGCCGGCACGGGCGGCCGAGCGACGCGGACCCTCCGCCCTCCCTCCTCTCATGGGCGTCTTTTGCCGCGCCCGGTGAGGAGATAGTAGCGGCCATAGGGACGAGCATCTCCTATTGGCAGTGTGGGTGGACAGGGCCCTTCTTGTGCCGCTCAGAAGGATGAAATCACGCCGTTGACTGATTTTGGGTTTTTACTTCTTCAGGCTTTACTTCTTTTTCTCCCTGCCTCCCCCGCCCCCTCCTGCGTGTGCCCTCCTCCTGTGGCAGCTGCTTACGGAGTTGGGGCTGCCACCTCGACTGCGCTAGCTGGAAATTGGAAGGCACGTGTAGGATCTTGCCACATGGGAAATACGAAATTCCCACGAGGAGCAATCTTTGAACAGCTGCTTTCCAAGGGAGAATGAAATAAGGAAAAGAAACAATAATAATAATAATAATAATAATAATAATAATAATAATAATAATAATAATAATAATAATAAAAACTAAAAAGGCAGGGAGGAGGTGTGGGGAAATAGACTTTGGAAACCTGTGTGGTTTTGTGAGCAGCCCTGGCTGCATCATGGAAGTGATAGGTACCAAAGGCACCGACCCCTGAGGTGAGCATTTTCCTCTGCAGTTTCCTGCTCTGTTATTTCATAGTCAAAATTAAGTCCCTAGGGAGATGCAGAACCTCTTTCTGCTCCTTCTTTCTGCTCTTCCCTACTTTCCTTCTCCCCTTTCCTCCCCATCCTTTCTGTAGCATTCTCCAGACAGTTTTATGCCTCCATATCTCCTCCAGTTTTATGCAGAGGATCAGTACCTGAGTGCCTGTCACCTCAGCACCAGCCTCTTGGTCCTCAGCTGCCCGCAGAAACCACCACTGGATTTCAAGGTACACCGAAGTAGAGCCACTTTGGAAAGCACAAGACATCTCCACATTCTGCCCTTCAGTGGCCGTGACATTTCGGGGAAACTCTGTGAATTTTGCTGTAAAACAAATGCATAACAGATTGCTACCTTCTAATAAGTTATGCTCTGCTTCTTGGTTTGTTTTTATTTTATTTTTATTTTTTTTATTGTTTCTCCCCTCCCCCCCCTTTTTTAAGTTCTCTGTTTTCTTTTATTTTCACACTTTTTTTTTTTTTTTTCCTGAGTGTCCCACACATTATCTCCCCTGGTTTTTCTCACATACAGGTATGTGTTTCCTCCCTTATACACAAATCCATCCTCTTTACACTCTCAATTCTGCTCATGGGAAATGCTGTAGATCCCCCTGCTTGCTCCCATGAGCTGGTAAAGTTTCACATAATTAGCTCCAAATATCCTTGGGCAGAATGCAGTATTTCACCAGACTCACTGAGGAATTTTGTACAAGACCATTTTAGGAGAGGAAAAAAATCAGACTGATTTATTGTATTTTGTAGGGCTGAGCTGTAGACCTGTAAATTGTTAAACATTCCACAGCGAGCTGAAGAAGCTATTGGCACAGGCACCTCTGGGTACTCTTCTGAGTGAGTGTTACAATCACTCGTCAAATGTCCTTTTCATAGGTTTTACCTGACTTAGTTACTCAGATTCTGAGAACCTCTGCTTGCATAATCAGACCAAAAATCAATTTACCTTCTGTTTCTCAGTCCCAGCAGATACTTTCTAGAACTAACCTTCATATTTGTATCTCAGTCCTTCAACAGGATCTGCCCATTTCAGTTTACCACTGCTAGGTATAAAAGCTAATGCTGATAGACATTGTCAAAGACATCAGTAATTTTTCAAGTCTCTGTCTTTACTTCCTTCTTATCCTTCTTATCTCTCACTTTAAAATTGTGCAACATAATGAATCATGATAGTCAAGTGAGGGGGTCTGCAGAAAAACAATCTAATAAATAAATGCTGTGTTTCTAGAAGAGGAAAAACTGGAAAGACTCTGCAATGTCACTTTCTGTTATGAATAGCTACAGATTGACTAGAGCATATCTGAAGGAAATGTGATGCAAAAGAAATATTGCTCCCTGTCTCCTCCCCTCTTCCCCTCTCTTTATACAGTCTTCCTAGCCAGCCTGGAATTGGTGGGATAATTTGGTAACCAGTGTTACTTCTCTTTACCCTTACATCTGCACCTGGCAACATATACTTTCAAAGCTGCTAGCTTTATATTCCACGGTGCCCCTTTATCAGACCTCCGCCCCACCAGCCAGCCATTGCTAGTCACCGACTTAAACTGCCAAAAAAGGACCGTACATTTTGCGTGTTAGGTGCTAGTAAGTTTGTTTTGGGGTTTCTTTTCGGTTTGCTCCTTCTCTCCCCTCCTGGTCTGTAGGGTGAGCGGCGTGGGGACACGGAGGGGAATGCTGCCGGCATCCTCCGGGATGCCGCGGGGAGCTGCGGGCTGGGAGGGCGAGCAGGGGCGGCAGCCAGAGGGCGGCGGGAGCGGGCGGGGGCAGCGGGCAGCGGGGGCAGCGGGGGCAGCGGGCAGCGGGGGCAGCGGGGGCAGCGGGCAGCGGGCAGCGGGCAGCGGGCAGCGGGCAGCGGGCAGCGGGCAGCGGTCGGGATCTGTCCGTGGTGCTGACGGCGGCGCCGCAGCCCCGGGGTCCCGAACAGCCGGCTCCTGCAGCGCCGGGGCTGCTTGAAATGCAAGGCGCGCCTTTCGGCGGAGAGGGAGGGAGGAAGGCGACAAGGGTGGGGGAGGTATTCAAAGAAGTCGATTTTCTCTCTCTCTCTCTCTCTCTCTTTTTTTTTTTTTTTTTTTTTTTTTTTTTTTTTTTTTTTTTTTTTTTTTTTTTTTTAATGGAGGTAGAGTGGTAGAAATACACATAGTCACGGAATAGGAATGAAGGTCTGACTCTGAGGATTGCAGGATAACAAGAGAGGAAAGGGAAAGCAGCACAGAAGGAGACTGCAATATTTTAAGAGAAGCAGTAGGTTTAGCCAGCCGGTACATGGTCTGATTGCAATAATTATGCATGCACGGGTAGGTGTTTATTGTATGCAAACATGCCTCGATAACAACATGCACAACTCAAACACATGCATGTCCATTCCCCAGCACCCCTTCACTCTTCTGCAAGGTGCCTGCTATTTCCCTCTTTGCATTTGGGTAAAGGAAGCCTTTTATACTTCTACTTTGGGGAAACTTCTCACTTCTTTTCCTATTTACAGGCAATTTTTTCTGTACAAACTAAATGTAGACCTGATGCTTGGTGTCCTCACCTCTTACACATTTTCATTGTTTTCCTTATTTTCTCCTTTCTTCCTTCCCCCCCCCCCCCCCCCCCAGTTCTGTTCTCAGTCTGTTTTAGCATAGCAAACCAGACACACACATATTTGACAATAAGTGATCTTACCTTGGGTAGAAAGTCCTTGTTGAATATACATAACTGAAAAGAAAATGAATCCAATATAAGCTAAAAAGATCCCCATCATTCCAAGATGAAGAAGTCACATCAGGAAAAAAAGAACAAAAAAAACCACAGCCAAAGGTGTCCTCAGAAAAGAGAGAACTGATATATAAGTGTATGTATGTATTTCAAATATCTGAACAGAAAGAAATTTGCAATGTTACTAAAAGGCTCTGTATTGTAGACCTGGCTGCGACACTGGCAGCATTCTGCTGCTCAGTGGAGTCTTTTTCTTTGAGAAGAGCGAGTATTGCAATACAGTGTGGCTCAGACGAGCTGTCTCAGGCGCTGTGTTGCTTGAAGTCCAGATACAGACTAAAAAAACACAAACCGTAGAAAAGTGGGTATCAGCTGCCTTCTGTGCCTTTTTTCAGCTACCTGGCAGCTTCGTCCAACGTCAGCTCTTGCTGCTCAGGATGGCGTGATGACTGCCCTCCCTACACACTGATCCAGCTTGGGAAGAGAGGAGTAGGGGAAGGAAAGGGGGGGGCAGGGGTGGGGGGAAAGAAGTCTACTGTGCTTGTATTGCTACAACTTTTCCTTCTAATGGCTGCGATAATGCCTTTAACCCTTGCTTCTCCCTCCTCATATTCTACACCTCTACCTGCTCTAACTTCTACTGCCTCTGATGCTGGGCTAAATCTGTGGGGTTTTTTGGTGGGTTTGTTTTTTTCGTTTGTTTCTTTGGGGTTTCGGGGTTTTTCTTTTTGAATAGTGTACTGCTTATGACAGAGGGAGCTTTTATGGTACTGATATAATCTTTGGTCTTTCAACCCAAACCACTCAGTGGCTAAAAGGGCAATGCAGTGGTTTGATTTTTGGTGAGTTAAGCTGTTTCTGTTTTCTCCTTTTTCTTTCCCTGTTACAGGATCTGAGGAGAAAACAGTTCCTCAGTAATTCTATCGCACTTGCTACTGCCTGCTCCAAGTAACTATGCTTCTAGCATCTTATATTAAAATTACTTCATTTTGTCTTCAAAGGCAAATAAAGAAGATGATACTTAGAGTGTGCTTAGGTTGAATTATACACATTCCTACAGAAAAATAACCAGATAAAAATGTATTTTCATATCTTACAGATTACTCACATTAATGTATATATTTATGTACACTAGAGAAGATGTTTACAGTATATTAAAGAATGCTTCCTCCTGCAGTGAATCTTTTCTTCCTTGTTCCCTGTTTTCTGTCTATGTATATTAATAATGTTCAGATAAGAGAGTAACCTTGACTGTGTTATGGGTATTCAAAACACCCTGAAACACATCTGCACTGAGAGAAGTTCTCTCAGGCTGAAATCACCCTGCTGCTTGCAGTAAGAAGCCATCTAGAAAGTGCTTGTTGCACTAAGCAATCACCAAATACCTTCTGAAGGCAGAGACAAAGATTAAATAGAAACTGAAAAGAGTACCAGATAATCACTCAGACTGCCAAATAGTTGAACTTAACTGCTAATCACAAACTAAAAAAAGCTACAACATGGTACCAAATTAGGAGAATTTTATCTGCACAAGCAGTATGTTTTTCTGGAACAGGACAGGTTCTGTCATTCCTGGCAATGGGAGTGCAGTAGTTGCACAATGGCACAAAATGCAACTTTCACCTTACTGCACTAGCCAAATTATTGCATGCATACAAAACACCTGACATAGCTGCAGAGATCTCTTTCACAGAACTAATGATATCTGATTGAAGAACAATCTTTTTGTTACAATTTTAGCTCTTCCTTTTTTTCTTTTTCATAATTGTGTGAGTTCCCATTTTTATTTATGATGATAAGGGAGCCATTTCTTGATGGCAATAGCCTATTGCACTCATGTCATAACTTAAGCTTAGAAAAAATTCTGAGTAAAAAATTAATACAATAAATCAAATATAATTTAAATTATTAAAATGATCCCCCTAATGAGAAAACAATTGTGTTACTTGAAAGATTTCCTATTAGCACAGAGATTTAATTATTTTAAAGGAGGTCATGATGGGTATATTCAAAACCAATGAAAGCCTGTTAAACAAAAGAGAAGCACCAGTCTTGAAAGGTGGTAGACCTAAATTATCTGAAATAGTCAAGGTTTATCAGTTATTCAGTGATTAAATACACACTATAGCGTTTTTTACAGGTTCAGATGGTGAAAGTTTCAATAATTTCCATAAAAGGACTCAGTTCCTTTTCAGATGGGTTGCCAAAATCCTAACTCACTCCTGAAAATGAAGGCTGATTATAGGATTCACTTCAAACCCATGTACGTCATCAGTAATCAGTTGAAATTAAAAATTAGAGACATATTATCAGCAGCCAAGTTAAATGTAAATTAGACAGGAGGAAAAAGAATCTAAGCAGTATCACCTGGTTTAGAAGAAAAGCAGAAAACAAAAACAGATTATTTTTTCTCTTTTATTTGCTTTTTCCAATTCAAGGCACTTGATAAGTAAATTTAATTTTATCAAATTTTAATTTAGAAGGAAGAATAATTCTGCCAAATAACTTGTAGTCAATGGAACTAATGAAATCTTAAATTAATGCCCCAGGGACATAAAAAAAAAAAAATTATATATATATATATATGTATATATATGTATATATATATATATATATATGGTTATTAAAATATCAGAACAGAGGATGTATCAGGAAATGGATTTCATGGAAATAATCCTTTAACTTGGTTACATTTTTATTATTTTTATTTTATTGATGTGCTGCAACAAGCCATATTATTTGATGAAATACTTTAAACAGAAAGCAGGAATAATCCACCTCATGTTATCAATGTTAAAATTCATCCTGATGGGTGTGGCTTCTCCACAATCAACCATGCTGTATGAATCTGGGCAGTGAATGTCTAGTTGCCTTGTGTGAAATTGCTGCCATTTGTGCTGTAGAAAGACTTTTAATGTAGTCTAACTTAAGAGAAGTACCAGTTGTGCTTTATAACATGAATGATATGGTGCATGTGAGATTCCTGATGCCTTTTTTCCTCCCTCTCAATGATTCTAACAGATGAGACATCACAGGACATCCTCCCAGGTCAGAAAAAAGTGTTCATGCACAGTGGAATTACATTTCAAACATGCCAATGAAATGTAAAAATGGAAGACCTGTTTATGATGCCTTGGAGCTGAATTATGTAGATCTCTTCTGTATCTTATTATAACTGCAATACATGTTCCAGATCAAATGCTCCTTCAAAATCATTAATGGCTCTGCATGTTTGTAACTCTGCCCAGCTTACAGATCCTAGATCTGTGTATCTGTTCTAACTCTTAAGGAGAAAAGTGATTATGGAGATTTCAAGATCAGTAAAGGTTAGAAATGAAAGTTATTGTTTGGCTTATCAGCAACAAGGTTGGAGTGCTTTGGTCCCATAAAGACATGGACTGATATGGGCTGCTTTGCCCTGCAGGAAACTGATCAGCTGATGTTTGAGACCATGATTGTATTGCTATACAACAAGCTAAATTAAAAACAGAACCAAAAAAAAGTTATCTTTTATATTATTTTTTGTGTTGACTGATATTTTCAGCTCTTTCATCATTATTTCAATGACTTCTTTACAGTTTCAAGGAAAATTTTTTATTGTCTGATAAAATGTGTGACTTAATAAAGTTGAAATGGAAGGTGGTTTTCCTCACTGGAGATTGCTCTTTGGTTTTGTTAACCCAAGTGCTCAGATGAGGCTCTCCCAGCACGTCACTGTTGTCTCTTTTCAACAGTATGTAATTATATATTGGAAGTAGCACCATAACTCAGTAGTAATTATTTTGGTAATAATTTTGAAAAGAGCTTGTGAAGGGTTGACTATCAAACTTGAGAGTATCAGGGACTTCTTACATAATTGAATATTTATTCAGTTAAAGGAGATAATACACACGTAGAATTATTAGTACCCAAATTGATGAGAGCCTTGAGTATGCTCAGAGAATTTGTGATCTTTACAGAGAGAAAATCTAAACAATTTTTCATGTCTTAAGTTCTTTGGGGACAAGAATTTCTCACATTTGTATATTTTGTCACTGTAGACTCCCCGAAATTTGATACAATTTACTGCTATTTCATGATGAAAGCAACATCATAACCTTACTCATGATCAAGAATAAATATAGAATCCTTCAAAACTAGTAGCATTTGAGACAATTACCTGTTTGAAGAACACTTGCAAAGTGATGCTTTTTCTTACTTCTGTGAGACTTCTTGTTCTGATTACTGTTCTGCATAAACACAAGCCATACTCACACTTTATAGATCTGTACTTTGCAAAACTATACATTTGGGTTGTAATGTTTCTATGCTAGCTTTGCCTTTCAGGGTTCCAAATGGTGGTTGCTACCTTTGGGTTTTCTCCACTTGTTCAAATGTATATCAACAATCTGTGAAACCAGCAGTGGAAGAGAAGAGGATCATGAAAATATTATAAATTAGTTCTATTTTACTTTAAATATCTTTTCTTTTAAATACTCTTACACTCTACCCCCTCAAATCAGAAACATGATATTTGAGGTATCATTTGTATTTGGCTACTATTAAAAATATGAATAAAAATGGATTGTATATGCTCAATAGCAGCTCACATCCCTTAGAAGTCTGCATTCATTCACAGTGCCTAAATTTCTCAGACCCCTGAATGCTGACTTAGCGCATATATGACATTTTCACAGAGCGAACAGACATGCAAAGGGACTAGCTGTGCAACCCCCCAACCCTCCTGCAATTAGTATCTGGAGAAACAGGAAAAAGGTAAGAGAAAAGAAAGATTCTACAACAAAATGAAGCATCAATGAAAGGGTTGAAAATTAGGAAATAAATATCATAATGAAGTTTGTTTATTATCTTAATCCATTTCTTTCATTCCAGGAAATTATGATCTACTTCAGGTGAACCCCTCCTGTTTTTAACCTGGATTCATACTTCACTCATTAGACAAAGTTCTGCTAGTCTAAGAATAGATTCTTGCTTAGGCCTGGAAAGTAAAGAATGCTGTCTGTCATATGTGGTACTTATACTTTACATGCATTGGAAGAGAATGAATGCCTTCCTCTCAGGGCAGTTAAGTTCTGCCTAGAAGCAGAGTCTGTCTCTGACCATCTGAGTTCCTGAGGGACTCACATCAGACATTTCACATAGGGTCAATAACAGTGAGCTTCTCATTTCTGAATGCCCACCTCAGGACCCAGATGGCTCATATGAAGAAGCACTGAGCAGTCACATTTGCAATTAAAGTGAATGAATGCCATGATTGAAGATGCAGATTATTATGTGACAAAATCCCACAACTTGGGCCCTGGGTAGCTCAGCAGTGGCTGCTGTCTATGTGTCTCTGCTACCTGTCTGTAAAGTGGAATATATTACCTTGTCACTTCGGAGAGGTTTTCTTAAGATAAATTAACCTTCAGGAAGCTCTCAGAGCTTTGCATGATGAGCACCATAGGGAAGCCCAGAAGGGAATGAATAATTCTGTCTTCAGCTCAGTGTTTGAGTGGTGTGCTTGGGT